TAAAAATCTAGGTGCAGCTGAGTTGTAAACAATTTTATGGGTGTCACTGCCACATAGGATAAGACAAGGATTATAATATAAAAAATGAAAATATAAAGGACTGAGTCATAGGCGAGTAAAAAATTTAAGGACTGAATTGTACTGAGTCATAATTAAGAGAATGTGTTATAAGAGAGTTAAAAGTTAAAAGGGTAAAAGATTAATTTTTTCCAAACAACATATAAAAGATATGCACGTTACATGGTTATTGTCTGGACGAGAATAAAATTTATGACACGTTATTGTGGTCCAATGTGATTTTGTGAAGGATTCGCGGAAAAGAGATGGAGTTCCATTATTTTGTTGCTCCATTAGTGGTTACGAAATAGAGGAATACGACTTTTAATTTTTGTTTTTCAGGTTCTTTCTTTTTAAGAAACTGCTTTTGTTTTTTTTTTTTTTAGTTTCTTCCATTTTGAGAAAGTGAAGACATGGAGTGCAGAGTTTGTCAAATAGAGGTTCATTTCTTTCCTATAAACGAAAGAAGATTTGCCTTCAACAGAAATAACAATAATTATTCATTCATTTTAGCTGACGCATCCCAAATACAAAAATGTAAACCTAATGAACTCTCAAACTGATGAAATAGGCGGAGTATATGTTACATGCACTTACTATTATTATCTTGGTTAGTAGTTTTATAAAATTATTAGATATGATTATTCTCAGTTTTAAAAAAAATAGATATGATTATTCTATTTAAGCTATCAAAATTTTAAAGAGCTCATTGAAGAGGCATTCAACTCAAAACACTGCTTTGTAACCAGTGTCAAGAACTGCATCTTGTCTTGAGTTTAGTAAATCAGGACTGGAAGAACCGTCCTAAGCCTAAAAAAGTAAGATTAAAGACTTTTTTTATTGTTGCATATTGTCTGTAAATCATTTTGTATTCTGTGTGAACATCGCAGTAAATTGTCAGGACTTAATTTGAGCCGTGATCAACGTATTGACCAAGCCAATACAATTAAGTACACTTGGTTTAGCTAGCTCGGATTAAAACCACATTCACACCAATACACCATACAACCTAAAAGAGTTTAAAGAAAATTAGCCTTCATTTCTATCAAAACAAATCACAGTTTGCATAATGCAAGGTACCAATTTCAAAACAAATTAGCCAACATTAGTCAAGCATTATTGAAACAAACGTTCAACATAAATTTGAAGCTGACACGACACAATGACACTAACCCCTCCATAGTAGCCATGACACCATGGGATACTACGTCGTCATTATTCTAGCTTGTCCTACTTACACGCCTCACATTACAATCTTCACCACTGAATAAGCGTTCCACCTACATTACAGCATATTGTGTTTGTCTGTATGTATTTATATATATATATATATATATATATAAAAGTATGGGGAATAACTGACCTCCTTAATTTATAGTACATCAAGTATACCTCTTGTATGTATAAGCACGGGGAGTAACCATCCAACACACATACATATGTCCTCTTCCAAAAGGATAACCATCTCACCTAAATGTAGATATATAAATATCTATATGTGCATATATCAGTAGCTTACTTATGAGACCCAGGGGAGATAAAAGCTTCACTGCAGAAGTCGAACTCCCTCGTAAACAAACTGAAATCCAACAAATTATATATCGGACTTATGAAAGCCAACTTTTTAAATAGAAAAAATTACAAGATATCCTAAATCTAAATCATCTCCAGTTTTGGTTGATGATTTCACTTTACTGATGTTTTTTTTATTCTGGGATGTGATGAAGCTAGGCTATGCATACCAAGTTTCCTATTATGTTATGCCTTAACGGACTTCCGCATCAAGGAGCATACCGTTATGATCTAACAACGTAACAGTATTCAACACAATACAATGCACTGAAAATCTGGCCATATTAGTCAATATACGAGGTCACTGTATTAACAGTTTACAGAAAATTATCCAGAAAATGAGAATCGCCACTGGTATTCAGAAAAGATAACAGAAAAGGTCCAGAAAAGGGAAACAGAGAATCAGAAAAAGAAATCCGTAGGGAGAGAATCAGGGAGAAGCAAATCACAAATTTCACACACGTCCCATTCTCTGACATCTAACAAACTTTATTCCCTCAGCTTCTGTGGTGGGCGTCTCTCACGTGAGCTCCTTCGCACGCCCAATCCAATGATTGCATGATCGCCATTTCCCTCCACCTCACCATCCATTCTGTCATCCACGTGTCCCTGGGTCCCATGTGCGTTCATGACACATACAAGTGAAGTTGTCTGAAGATATATACCCATTGTAAGAAACCAATCTGAAATCCTAATAGCGGAAATAATTACATTCAAACTTATCAATAGAATTAAATATATTACAGAGCAGCATATTTTATTTAAAAGCACGAAAGTCAAATTTAATAGATGAAATGTAAAAGGGAGATACACACCGATAAGTAATGGATTATAGCCAGGTAATCTATTTCTTACTACTGTGATTATTTGTAGATTCCAAATTCAACTGGGACAGCAGGAGGAGCACTTTATCGACATCATGAGAAGTCTTGGACTCAGGATTCTGGGGGAATAGATTGAATGATTGAAGACTCCTTCAGTTTCTTTGTTGAAGGGAGTTGGTACTGGTCATCATCAATATTTCGAGGCCTCTTTTTTTCAATACCTTCTTTGAATTTTTTTTGTTGAAGAAGGAAGTTTGTGTACTCCGAGACATATATTGGACGAACTCCACATTCTTTGATCCAGCAATTGTGCCTTTCAGAATTGCAATTATTGGAATAATAATCATCACCAAAATAATCACCAATATGAAATTTAAATTCAAGCTCCTCATCATGACCTCTCGCCTTTCTTCGGAGTTTCCGTAGTACACGTTCACTGTGCAGGGGATCGTACCATAGAAAAACATCATCTGAATTCCATTTTTCCACTGAATAGTGCCATCCTATTGGACCATTCAAAAGGTTATCAAGTTTCAAACCCCTGCCTTCACTCACATCATGTAAATAGAAATCACATGACGAGTGACATTCATCCCTTTTTTTTGAGGAGAACTGGGGTATAACAAAGCAAAAAATGAAGCCTATTAAGCTGTCAAAATCCAAAGCAAACCGAACACTGTTCCGCGCGTCTGGAGATTCATAGTTTATTGTTGAACTTTTATAAGTAAACCATTCTGGAATAATACTTCCTTCAAAATTGCCACATTTTCCTTGATTCAAGGAGAAACGAGTATATTTTAGGATCCCATGAAATGAATTCTCATCAGCATCATGACAAGTCTCTTTTTGGGAATCCAAGTTTGGCTGCAATTCCGTTTGATGAATGAAGTTGCGATATTCCGAGGCATATATTGGCAAGACTCCACATTCTTCAATCACACTTCCTGCATCATTATCGAATTTAAGTAGCACCTTTGGTCTATAATTGGTGTTTTGATCGTCCATCTTCTTATGGAAGCCCTTGAATGGGCAAGGTTCACCCCACAGAAAAACTTGATGTGAATCGAAATTTGTCACTTCTCCGATAGCAGCTGTTGATTTCCATGGCCAACCACCACTAGGATCCATTATGCATGAAAGGGCGGAGGAAGAGCGTTGAAAAACAACAGAGCAGAAAATGAAGCCAATTACGTCGCTGGTGGGGAAAGGAAGCTCAATAGTTACATCTTTGGAAGCCTCTACTACCTGATTAAATCTAAACCACTCTGGGGCTTTTCTTCCGGAGTAGGAAATGTAACCTCCTTTATATGCGTATACTAGTCGCCTCAATAAGAAATAAGCACTTTCCATAACATGCGTTTCCAATGATGTGCAACCCTGGGCGAGAATATGTCCAAAGAACGGTGGTAGCACTGGCAGAGAGCGAAGTCTTCTACAATTGCTCAAGTCAATATAGTGTAGATTTGAAAGATGCTTGATGCCAGCAGGAAGTTCATACAACTGTTCACAATCATTAAGACTAAGCGAAACAAGATTTTTGAGATAGCTAATCGAGGAACAGAATGGTGAACCCGCCGTTATTTCATCTGTCGACAATGGAGATTTAATATGGGAAGTGAATTGTAGTGTCTTTAATGATGTGCATTTGCCGGCATCTAAATGTTCAATGGATGGAGGAAGCTCGGGAAAAGATTGAAGGTCCTTGCAACCACTTACGTTAAGATGTCGTAGCCTTGAGAGATGCTTGATATTGTCTGGAAGTTCAGTCAATTTGCGTGTCCCTCTCAAATCAATTGTTTCTAGAGATAGCAAAGCATCAAATAAGGCATGGAGCTTTGATTTATCAATTATTCCGCAATCATAAAGACAAAGCTCCTGGAGAGATCTCATGTAACAGATGTCATTGATCGGAAGATTCTTTAATGCTGAGCCGTTGACATAGAGCGCCTCGAGTTTCTCCATAGGCCCAGTTGAAAAGTCCAATATCTCGACACATGTTCCTGCCAAACTTAAATTCTCCATTTTGTCTGATGAGAATGAAAATTCCTTGAGACTAGAGCAACCATAGACATATAGGTGCAAGAGAGATTTTGATGGACTCTCACATTTCAAACTTTTCAGGTTTCGGCAGTCCCGAAGTTTCAGATCTCTCAATCTTGGGAGAGATAAAATTAATGGATGAAGATGCTGTAAACTTTCACAGTCTGTCAGATCAACCTGTTCAAGATTTTGAGCTGGTGACAAATCTGGCAACTCTATCAATTGCTTGGACCCAGTAAGGACTATCTCCCTTAAATTCACAAAGTTCTGCAACAATTAAAAAGAGAAACATTACATGAGAAGCAAGAGTCTCAAATTTCAACTAAATTATAAAGAAAAAAAATTAAAACTTTTAATTGTATGTTTACCTGCATGCCATCCCATAGTTTTTCTAGGTGGCTACCTTGCATGCGAAGTGCGACTAGTTTCTCTACACAAAATGACAATGGTAGACTCTTGGAAGGAAAATTGTCCCATTGAAGATACCTTAATGAATTGGGCAATGACTCAAGCCCTGAAGAAAGATTCACAGTACACGATCTTTCATGCCCACATGAATAATGGAATTTTAGAAACCTTAAATTAGGCATCTTTCTGAAGACATCATTACTCAACTCCAAATCTTTAATTTGAGACAAATCTAAACTTATGGTTTGAATTGCCTCAGTTCCCTGAACAGCACAAAAATCCAAAAGAAAGTAAATAAATTACTTTATGTTAACAATTTCGTTTAAGTAATTGTAAAATGTCTAATTAGAAAGGTAAATATTCTTCTTACTCGATCATTTTTCAGAACATCGTAGATCTCATCAGGCTTCCATAGTCGACTACGTCCTCCAGGATTTGTGATGCACTCTTGATGAATAATATCGAAAGCCATTGATTGAATTAAATCATGCATCCATACTACATCACAACTGACACTTATCAACGCCTTATCCATAAGGGTTCTCAAACCAATGCTTGCCGCAAAGCCACAGTTCTCTAGTATTGCTTCCACATATCTTCTTAATTCACCTTTGAAAAAACAAGCAATGTCTAAAAATATCTGTTTGTCCTCGTGATCAAGCCCATCATAGCTCAATTTTAACACAGCCTGAATATCTTGATTGGGTGTTCTTTCTAATTTCTTCAATGCACTTTCCCATTCTTTTACAGTTCTGGAATAAAGGAATGAACCCAAAATGGTTAAGGCTAATGGAACGCCTTGGGCATAAGCAAGAGCTCTTTCAACTAGTTTTTCATATTCACTTTCATAACCATCTTTGTGGAAGGCTCGAAGGTTGAAAAGCTTAAGTGAATTGTTGTAGCTCAATTCCTTGGCCTCATGTATTCTCTCAACTCTTCCATTAAGCACATGCTTATCTCTACTTGTTATGATAACTTTACTACCATGTCCCAAACAAGAAACTTCCCTTTTCAACTCATCTAACTGCTGGGTGGTGCTAACATCATCAAGTACAATCAAAACTTTTCTACTATTGAGTCTTCCAAGAGATGTATCCTTTAATAGTTTTCGGAGAAGTTCGTCACGTACATGTTCTAACCTAGACTTCTCATATTTTTCCCTAAAATTTTCCAAGAAGCAGCAACTATCAAATTGAGAGTGGAGCTTGGCAAACAAAACCGTAGCCATTGTTGTTTTGCCTATCCCAGCCATCCCCCAAATCCCAATTGTTGAGGATTCTTCTAGTAACGACTCAATATGATCCAAATTCTCATCAATTCCAACAATATCTTCTAGTATAGTTGTTGGGGACCCATGGTTTAGTTTTTTGTTGATGTCCGTGACAATATTTTGAATGAGTTCTACTTCATCCCTATTATAAGAAAAAGAATTACTCAAGAAAGTATTAATGCATCAAATGAAACTTAAGGAATGGTTTAAAAAAAGTGACAACTAATTGATGGCAGTTTTCTCCTTTGGTGACATGGTAAGATAATTATTTAATAAGTGACAAATTTCTATACAGTTTTATCAAAATTGTGTGTATATTTTAATTTCCTCCGTTTTCAAAATTATCAAGTAGAATTCTATTAAGATTTCATCGATTTCTGCTCTGGTAAACAGGACATTTGTGAATAATTATAGAGATAAGATGTTATATACTGTTTGTGTCAGGGAACAGGCTTTTATAACTTTGAAAATTACCAATAGATGCTGTAAAATCTATCATTGTTGTGAAGTTTGGAAATATGTGCAAGTTTCATTTGATCATAAGAAATAGGGAGCACGCATGCAGGGCAGAGCCCCAGCCAAGAATAAGCAGGCTACATTTTGCAGCCTATTGCCAGATCCTTCTTGTAGAATCCCTAACTATTTTGAGATGGGTAAGAATGAGTTAGATGCAGGGCGAGCTTCCCTATCTAAATAGTGATGCCTTGTCTATGTGAAAAAAATCTATAATTTAAATCAACTTTGTTACTTTCGTTGTTTTAATTGATTACTTAATTTGTATTCTAATGTGAAAGAAAAATATAAATATAATATATAAAAAAATATCAAATGGTGCTTGAAACTTTAGAGGCGGAGTTAGAGTTCTTCAGTTAGGACTTATGGGAATGATGATAAAATATAATTTATACTTATTTTGTAATATGATATAATAAAATCAATACTAGCGCAGAAAGATTTCAGAGAAAAATTGTCAAACTCAAACTAGCGGAACATATGAAATTTCACGTTCCCTCTGTCTTTCATTTAGTCTTTCCGAATTTCACATTCACATCAGTTCCAAACATCACAATATAATATTTTAATATTACATTATACATAGGAAAAATGATAAAAAAGGAAGTTGAAAATTACTAAATCTCAAATCAGGTTTGGTAACAACATTTTATTTGGTGTTAACAACTCTGAATCTGCAAATGACAACAAATTTTTATTGATATTTCTTATTTGGTATTTATAAATTTTTAACTTCTTCTATTGCCATTTTTTCTTATATATACTATATATATATTTATTTTCAAGCAGGGTTAAACAGGTAGAGCAACATGCTTTATTCAACACTCGATCTTGCCCATATTAGCTTAGCTTGAAAGTGCCCATTTTTTTCTGGGTTTCTTCTTTTTCTTTCAGACTGGACTGGGATTTTTTTCTGGACAGAGCCTCATGGACACCCCTATTATGTAAGAAATGTATACATAATTTACTCTGCTATATATGAGTTATTCGTATATTCATAATGACAATTAATTAAAGAAGGGTCGAACATTTATTTAAAGAAAAAAGTAAAATTTTTACTTGTGATCTTATTTTTCAAGTACATATAGCATCTTAATTTTTTTAGTGGTAAAATTATAAGTAAAATTACACCACTAAAAAGATTAAATGCTAAATATACCTGAAAAATAAGATCAAAAATAAAATTCACAATTGCCAAAAAAAAATCAACTTTAGAGGTGAAATATCAAATTTTGAGATGACACCGTTTAAATAATATTTTCTTCATATAACCCCAATTAATTAAAGAAATTAATTTTATACTCATCTGGTGCTGCTTATAAAAGAGAAAATATTATTTTTGATCCTATTTATAAGTTATTTTATTAAATTTTTAGCATGGACATACTATTTTGTTCTTTATTTATTATAGTGTAGATAGATTTTATTTTTTTTAAAGATATATATTAAATAAAGATAATGTTAAAAAGTTATTATATTTTAATAAAGAGTTTGATACAGTTGAAGGTTTTTCTTAATTTGTTGAATAAAGCATGCTAGATTCCTTAAACAATCAAATATTCACTGCCAGACTAGTTAATTAGTTGCCAGAGAAGCTAATATGAAAGGAAAAAGCAATTTCTACGATGAGGAAGATCAATCAAAGGAAATAATAAAAGCATGAAACTCTGAAGTCATAATTGCTAATGAAACTGTGATTCAAAGATTGAGACTATTAGAAAAATGAAAACTGACCTGTAGTTGCGGGAGTCCCATCCTGCTAGACTTGCAATCTCAAAAAGTGCTTGTCTCCACTTGTCCACCTTCTCTTGGTTTTTCTCCAAATGCTCTGTGAATGCTTTCTCATAAGTTCCTTTCTGATTGCGCACATGAGATGGGTCGATTTCATAGAAGATAGGAACAACAATCTGTCCCTGCTGTTGTTTGCAGTGAAGGATCTGAAGGAGCTCATTTAAACACCATTTGGAGGAGGCGTAGTTTTCAGAGAAGACCACCACAGAGATGGATGAATCCTGAATTGCTTCCATGAGTGATTGAGAGATGCCATCGCCTTTTGGGAGCTCATTATCAATGTATGTCTCAATATCTCTGCGGCACAAGGCAGTATGGAGATGGCTGGTGAAGGATCTGCGAGTGTCCTCTCCTCTGAAACTCAGAAACACATCATATTTCTTGGAAGAAGAAGATGATGGGGAAGCTATGGGAAACATAGTATTCTGATTGTCTCTCGGATCTCTGTCTTCTTTGCTGAGAAATGGCAAAAGTGAGCTGATGATGGAGTATATATAGCAGCAGCTAGACTTTACTCACTTTTTCAAGTCTTCAGAGCCAAAATGACAGGGCACACGGCACTGATACTTTTACTCTTTCACATTTGAATTAACAAATTTCATTCCCATCGTAGCCGCAGCACCTTTCTTTTATCTTTCGCATCGGTAAACTTGGGCATCCATCAATTATGATCATTGTGAATCAATTATATATTATAAATAACTAATTTAACTAGTAGTTTTACTCTATTTAAATAGTTAATTAGTTTTTATATTAAAGATCTGAGGTAGCATGACTGTTTATCCCTTTTATTGATAAAAATGAGGTGAAATGCTATAATAATTGGGGAAAGTTTCGATTAAGGACCGTAGTTGAGAATTTATTTCAAACAGCCCCTTAAAACATTCTGAAATGTCACTGCAGGACTAAAAGACTAAACTGAAATTAAAATTAAGAGTAAGATTATAATAATACTCCTTATTTTTATTTTTTAAAAATGAATATTAATAGTCCCCAAAGCTTTAGGCACCCGAAGTTGGAGGTCTAGCTACCAGCACTCAAGTGGCCGTCGCCAGAAGTTGGAGCTCTGTTGGTCGGAAGATTTTTTTTTTTTTTTGTAAAATAAGATGGCGAAGGGAAGGTTTGAACTCATGACCCCTTAGCACACCAAAAATAATGTGATCACCAAGCCAAGCAAACTATTTAATTATGTGATGCAAATAAAAAATATATATAACAAAACAAATGCAAGTGTCCAAGTGCAAATAAACAAGTAATTTACAAGTGAAATTCAGCAATTTACAACAAAAATTTAGCAATTTACAAATAACATAATAGAATTTATAACCTCAAATACAAGTTTTTTAAAACTAAAAGAATTAATTTATTTGATTAGAAGTTTATAAGTAATTTTGCACACTTGCCTTTTTTTTTCCCGAATTAGGGGCATTTTGACACTTTCATAACATTAACGTGGGTCCCACCGTAAAAAATAACAGTCATTAATCAAATTTAACTTATATTAGGGGAAAAGGGTAGTGTATATTTTATAAATGATAAATTGTGTGGAGTCCAAATGAAAACATTGTTATCTATGATCCATGAATAATATGATTATCTATCACTTTTACTGCTAATTAAAAACTGGGTAGAATGCTATCACAATTATTCTTTTGGGTTTTTCAAGATAGACCAAAACATCATGACAACATTGTCCCTCCCTCGTACGATGAATTACAGGGAAAGGTCGTATACCTTCAATGGTTTGTGTGTGAATGATTGTTACTCTTTTGCATGTGAATGGTTTGTACGTAAAAGATGCAGATTGTTCATGCCAATTGCTTCGTTACTTCTCGGCAACTTCCCCCTACTTAACGTAGCTAGGTGGAACGTTCCCATCAAAATTCGATTGTTCAACTTTCACCAATTGATGGTAGGGACATTCTTGTTACTAACTTCTATTCTTTATCAGGATTACTTAACTAACAAAAAACAAAAAAAAGAAAGCTTCTACGTAACGAAGGTCCAACAAAACGTGTGGCCTACGCTGAAAAGTTGATGTTGATGCTCCCATAGCAATTGCTTTGCTATTTCACTGCAACTTCCCCTTTATTGTGGTTTGGAGGAATGGTAATTACTTTCTTACTTCTCTGCAGCTTTCACCAACTGATTGTAGTGTCAGGGTTTTAATTGTTAGAGATGGTTGGGTCAATTGTGGTTGAAAGCGTGTTAAAAAATACTCCCTTCACCTCCTGTTATAAAATCCAATTTTTTAAATATTCTAAATGAGCCTATTTTTTTATAAGATTTTTTTTAAGTTTATCTAAACATTTAATATATTATTACCTACTTTATTCTTAATTTAATATATTTAATATATTTTTCTCATTTATCTCACTATTACTCTGTCACTATTACTACATATTAATTATTTTTAATTATTTTTTTAAACAACGTAATATAGTTAAAAGAATTTTATAATAAAGGACAAAATGAGTAAGTCATATTCCTCTAGTCTTATTTATAAGGTACTTCCAGCATGTTTCAAACAGACTAAGAAAAATCTAAACTTCATTAACTTACATTTAAAATTGAATAATTTTTCAACTTTATCCCTATTTAATATATATCTTTCTTCATATAAATAAAGTCAACACAATAATAAATAAAGGGTAAAATTGTATATCTATACAACAAATTTCTCTCGATATCTTATAAATAGGACCAGCAGAGTAATTAATTTATGAGATAACAGAGATCCGGGAGCTAATTTACTCAGATTGGGACATTAGCATCAAATATGCGCCAAGGAATGCACTCCAATGTGCAGATCTGATGGCAAAAAAGGCCCAGCTTATAGATGATGAATTGGTCTACTGGATGGAACCCCCACAGGAGTACCTCTCACGACTACAAGAGGATGTGGCCCTAGCCAATATGTCAGCTACCAATTATTAAATCAAGTTTACTTGGCTTGTATCATTCAAAAACAAAAAAGGAGTAATTAATTTATGTTACTTTTTGAACCAGAACAATATCTGTTTTTTTTTTTGGACCAGCGAACAATATCTGTTATTTAGAACTCAAGTCTTTAGGAGAATAGCATGGTTGGCTTCCATATTAAAGTGGTGCGTGTCCTCATTGGAAGCGTTACGAACAGAGGGAAGAATAAATGACCCGTCACGTATTAGTAGACCAAGTAATTGGGCTAATGATATACTCGCACTATACAATACTATACAAACCTGTGGAAAGTTGAAAACTCCTTCGAGCCATTTTGAGTTTACTTTAAATATAAAATTAAAGTGTGCTTTTAATTATCAGCAATCCTGAAAACAAGACACAGTTTGGTTGAGAAAAAACAACTCATAATTCACATGTATTAAATATACATAAATACTATGTATTTCAAGTTTGAAAACTCCTTTTTTTTTTTTTTGGGTTCTTGAAGTATATTCTGATGCTACATGTACTATAACAAATTGGAGTATGCAAGAGACCATTTTGCCAACCTGAAATGTATAAAGTTAGAGTTGCTGTTAGTATGCCAGCTGTACGTAATCGTAGTAAGTTCAGTTCTGCGGCAACAAAGCAGAGTATCCAATGTACACAATTGTTATAAGTAGCGGACTCGTACGCTGAGCAAAGCAGCTTTAATTCAACACAAGTACTGATCAGTTTGTCCACTTCTTCTCTCTCTCTCTCTCCCCCCCCCCCCCCGGTCTTCTTTATTTCTTGCTCACAGCACTTGCCATCATGTTCCATCGTCCAACTAATTATTCGATTGAAATTTTGAATCAAAATTTAATGGCACTGTTCTTTCCCTCCCTGCTGACTGATGGTGGGGTCATCTGTTAATGTCAGTGATGCTACTCCTTCTTATTAGCGCTTTAATCTAGACACAAAAATCACGGCATAACATATTCCCTCGTACAATCAATTCATGTCTTGTTGAAGGGGAGGGGATGCTTTAAAAACAGTTTTTCAATTTTAATTTGCAAAATAAAAATTTTATTTCGATTTATATAAATATTTTTATAAGTATTTATCATAAGTGAAAAAATTATCATAATTTAACAAAAATAAATTAACTAATTTTTGTAATATTCATAAATTAGTTATTTAACCCAAAATTATCAAACACATGAGTTTAAAAAAAACTCATGATAAAGATATAAACTCTAACAGTAAGAATTTATTTTTATTAATAAATTGATATTAAAAATATGTAATTAAATAATTAAAATATAAAAAATAACAACAATTCTATTTAAATATATTTTGTATCCAAATAATTAAAATTAAATTCATCAACTTTCATAATTTACCATATTCAATAAAGCAATTTTTATAAAATTCACATAAAGTCACTAAATATATCTAAATCCAAAAATTTAGTAGAGATTTAAAAGTGAGTTAACATAATTTTGCTGATAAAAATATAAAAATGATAAACTTGATGAGTGGACTCGTAAGTTCGACTAACTTTATAGCTAGCACAAATTTAATATTGATTTAACATGATTATGTAAACTGAAAACATAAAAATATTAAACTCTAAAAATCAACTTGCGAATTTAATAATAATGATTTAATTCTTATATTAAGAATCGAATATAGGAATATTTTGATTGAAAGTTTTTTAATACATTTCATTCGGTCTTTAATATAAAACATACTTTATAATATAACTTTTATTACAAAAACAGACTTTATAATAATAGTAGGAGGAGTAGTATTTTTTCCCTCTTATTTTTCTCCAATATTTTCTCCATCCAACACCGACTCATCATCTACAAGAACAAATTCCCACACCTACTGGACAACCGAAACAGCCAACTGTACTCCTTCACGTGGCAGACCAAGATGGCTCTCCCTCTGCACTCTTGCCCCACGCAAGCATTATGATTTTGTGAAGGCTGAAGAGGCTTTACCCGCCTTTGCCCCCACCCTGTACGTCTGCAACGGCTATATTTTGCGGCGTCCGCTTGGGGCTAAAAAAATTGTGCTAGCTTGTATAATCATTTTAGTTATGTTGGACATTTTCTAGTTAAAACTCATTATTTTCAAATAAATTATTATTTTTTTAATTTATTCATATGTTATTTTATGTTATATATTAGAAAATATTATCTTGTTAATATCAAGTTTAAACTTTTTATTTTCTAATCAAGATTTGTCATTTTTAGATAAATTATTGTCAAACCAGAGTAAAAGAGTTAATTTATGTTATTTTTTTGCATTATAATATTAAGAAATCATTTGTGGCCCAATAGACACTTTTTTTGTTGGCTCAAATAATTATGGGGTGGTTAGATCAAATCTTACCCTACTGCTTTCTTCAAATAATTTCTCATGGCCAAAAAAAAATCTTTTTGTTTGTTCAATTTAACGTGAAATGGGTGATTGATAAATATCAAGAACTCATGATTTATTAGAT